ATATGTTTGCGTAGGCAGACATATTTTTTCATATTTTAAAGATAAATTGAATCGTAACATTTTTACTAATCTAGATATTAAAAGTATAGACAAAAATTTTAGGATACTTATCAATGTCTTTATTACGTTATAAAATTGTTTGTCGAGTCATAAATTCAGTAGGAATTTTATTTCAGTAGGAATCAGAATTTGCAGTAAAATTTTGCTTGAATAGTTTACAGAAAGTTAATTTGTCTTTAATCATTGAAACTTCTTTACTTCTTCAATATTTTTACATCTATTTTGTAATGATCAGAATAAATAAAAACTTGTGCTATATCTATAACATAATAGATAGTAAGTAATAATTTTCAATCGTATTCTATTATTTTATCTCTTTCTTTATCAAATGATATTTCCATAGTTACCTTATCTACATGCAGATATATTATATTAAATATACATAAATAGAATGGAGATAATATTTTCATATATCAATTTTTTTACACAATTACTTTCTTATATCTCTTGATTTTTTTTTATATAATTAGTTAGAATATTGTTTTTAAAAATAAAATCTTCATATGTTTTTCGTTTATCTCCATATAATTTATGTTCTGACACATATGATCTATATCCCTAATAAAATATGAAAAAACACATGCCCAATAAAAAAATATTCAGAATTTATAACAATTTATTCTAATTATGTAAATCAACTTCTATTAAATTTACAAATCCGATTATTAGGATGATTTATTTTAGAATTTAGATATCATTACATATACATTATATGTAAAATTAATCGATTAATAATTTTCACAATCATCGTACAATTCTCTTTTACGTCATTTATTCAGCGTATGAGTAAACAAGTTTGTTAAATCACGAATCGATGAGCGAATCGCTATGTGCCAAGGAAGAATAAATTCACTTGTTACACGTATATGTATACATTCATGTGCGTTACTTATGTAAGGTGAACATATAAAGGATTATGGAACCGTTGTGTTAGGAAAAGCTCTAGGTGTATCGCGCGTTCATAATTCCTGTCAAATATTTTCGAGATCAGAGGGAGGGTGTAAGGCATCTTCTTTGATTGTTGCTCACGTAAACTCTCAACGTTGTGCCGTTTTAATTTTAAACTGGCATACGAGAACGGCGCGGGAGTCTATCTTATATATATGCTGTCTTTGTTCGTTCCTTTCATACTTCCGTGCAGTTCAAAGAAAATGTATTTTTACATATGTTTCGATCTTGAATCGGCGCCATATAAGGAGTTCACGTTATTAATTTTTAAAATTCTTTTCTATATTTAATTTCTATATTCGAGAAAACTTTTAATATATGATACGATGATAATCTGAATAAAATGAATATTTGTTATATAATGACATTAATTTTTTTGATAATGTTATGAAATCAAAAAAAATATACAATGATTGAAATATATTTATTATTTCTAATGAATATAAAGTAATGTAAATGCTATGATAAATGAAATGGTATAATGAGGAAATTTTTTCATTCTGTCTTTTACGTAATTACAACATAATTATATCATAAATTTTTCTAAATCTTTTTACATTAAATGAAGATAAGTAACAGGAAAATGATTTCAAATTAAAAAAATTTATTATCGTAAAAGAAAAAATAAAAATTTTATCCTTTATTATTTTCTTTATAAGTCTATCATTTATAAGAAACAAATATTGAAAAATAATAGTACATACACCATGTATAGCATATGTATAGTGAGAGTTCGTGAACACGGGTCTTCCTACATGTTAGTTATGCATCGTTTCCGCCTTTGACGTAGCATACATAGTCTTGACGTAAATGTGTTTCGTAGCACGATGGCACGAAAAGAAACCGGAACTGGTGTGACGTCTGTCTGACAATCAAACAAATATTCCGGTCTATCGGTACGTGATATCTTTTCTTTGACGATCTGTTTCTTCGATTTTTCTTGCGATAATTTTTAATATATAAAATATTAAATATTCCAATAATTAGTAGGTGTAGAATTTTATTTTATTTTATTTTATTTAATTGTTTAACTTTTTCAAATAATTTAAAGCAATGGATTAGTTAAAAAATAGCTATATAGCACACATATATAATATTAGAAAGATATATGTATGTAAGTTTTGTTGAATTTATTAAATATTCAATTTTTAATTTAATTTTTAATTGTGATCTCGTTGGATAAATATAATTTATAGATTTAGATATTTAAATTATAGGTTCTAGATTTATACATCTTTGTTATGATATTTTTAATTCTATCTATTATAGTTATATACTGCACGATCGTATTCTCTTCAGAGATTGAATTGTATATTATTTACGGCTGATATATATCGGACTTTTCTTTCAATACATATCAGCCGTAATGCAATCTTGCAGTAAAGTTTCAGATTTAAATATCGCAAGGAAATCGTTATATAAATAGCAATTATTATATATATATATTATAAAAAATATATTATTAAGATCAATCTTTTGATATTTCATATATTAAAAAAATAACATTATTTTATAATTTGTTTTATTCATTTCTTATGTTAAAAATATGAATTGTTGTATAGATGGAAATTATTTGGATTTAAAATGTCTTCTAATTTACAAGCCCAAGTGTTGGCCATCTGCATCCCCCACACCGGAAAAGACTGTAATTTTTTGCTTTATTTTCTTTGAAATCTTTCAATCACCTTTCATCATCTTCACAAACATCGTTTTTTACTATTTTCTTCACATCACTTTCTATTCAAATCAACAACAATAGAAATATCATGGTATAATTATTTCTATAAAAACCATTCCAGGCAATAGAATAAATCAAAATAGAATTAAGAGAATTACATCACTTTCAAATTTCCAAATTGTTTCTATATAATTGTATAAACAGAATTTAGTGTGAGATGTACGAATAACACATTACCATTGAATCTAGGAGACTTCAAGTTAGGGATATTTACGGTGACATCGTGTTTGATTTATTAACGATTCAATTTCACCCTAAGTACGGCCATTACGAATCGAGATAGGGACCAATGCATTCAAATCGAGCCATAAATTATTCAAGCCTCTTTTCGTCGGTCGAGAACAACTGGTTCTCTCAACTTGTGTATATTGTACAGTAACGAACGATAAGAAAGCAATTTCGCGTGCAGTTGAAACAATCGGTGAGTCCGGTGAATCGCAAATTGCAATCAGTACGTGACCACTTTTCACTGAAGCTTCGCCAAACTTGCGGAAACCTTTTTTACCGATCGATCTCCCAGTTCCCAGTCGATCGACGAGGCCCTGCTTAATTATTATTTCTTCCAGGTCTAAAAATAATCACCGACCCTCTTTTCACGATCCGTAAACTCGTTGCAGCGGAAAATGGTCGTCGAAAGAGGATCGATCGATTTTGCAACTAAAGCTATATCCAATACCGTTTTCGGTATTCCGGAAAGAACACCGGAAACGAGAGACCCGCTTACTCTTATATATAGAAATTCTTATATATATACTCTTATATATACGAGCTTCATTTCTGTAAGAAAGAAACGATACAAAAATAATATACAGGATGATTCAAAAATATATATTAATACTTTAAAGAGAGATTATGTATAATAAAGACAAAATATTATATTTATAAATATTATATGTTTTATATATTTATATATATATATTTTAGTTAAGGATCTGAAGTACTTGTATTATAAATATATAAGGTTAGATACACATGACCGTCCTTTTCAGCTCATTAAATTTTTATTTTAGGAATTTTTTAAATTTATTATGCATTCAATGATGCAAGTGATAATAGATGATTTATAAGAAAAATTTAAAAAATCAAAAAATAATATATTGTTAAGATAGAAGGTGTTTCGAATATTTTCTTTAAGCATTCATAATTAAAAAAGGATATAATGTATATATTCATATAAATTTTATTTATTTTAATGTGCAGATTCATCTGTTGAAATATTGAAATGAGAATCATTATGAAAATTATGAATCACCCTCTACTTACAAGCGATTATCTTGAATCTGATCCTTAGACGCAACCCCAATAGGCGCGTAGAAATTTATTTTCCATATAAGGTAGACAATCGATTCGTTGTTATTTACGGATGCGATGTTCGCATTTGCACGTATGCAGCACGTGCATGTTATTATTGCAGTCACGATGCTGAATCTTTTCGCTGAACAACACGACCACCTCATACGATTTCTATGTTGAGACCGGTGGAAACATTTATTGCGTTTATGTTTATAATTGCTTTGAAATACATTTATTATGCTTATGCAATAAGTTATAGGAAAATTGAAAGATGCTTATGAAAGTAAAACTTATGAACTTATGAAATTCTAAATGTTAGGTTTGGCAAAAAAATTATTTTTAGAATCCTTTGAGATTAAAGCAATCAAATAAAATTATTATTTTATCCTAGTTAAGTCTTTTGTTAAACTTTTATGCTTCCTATAAATTTTAAATGAAATTAATTTCGAAGCATATTAAATTTTTAATATAGAAAATAAATAAGCGAGAGTTTTATTTTAGATATTCGAGTATAATGTGAACTTTTAACATTAAAGAAAAAAATTTTAAAATAATCACGAAACACATAGTATATAGAGCGGAAAACTTACCGCTTTCCAAAGCTTGAAGATTTTCATATTTAAATAAATATTGTAATTTATTCATATATTTTATTATGTGTTAGAAATATAGTAAAAAAATGAGTTGAAAATAAAAATTAAATCTCATTTATATTTATGAAGAAATGATAGATAGACATATATAGGTTAATAAAAAATATTGATATTTATTTCATCACTCAATAACTCTACATCACTCTTGATCAACTTATCAATCTACCATCATAAATCATCATCACAACTTTCAATCACATCCATCCAATTTCCATTATCGTTAAAACCTCTAGAAATGGGTTGGAACGGAACAAGTTTCACCGTTGCGCGATCCAATCGACCATTCACGGCTCGTTTCCTCATTTCAGCGACACGAGATGCATCGGAGGGTGGGGTACAGCAACTACGATGGCAAGATTGCCGGCCTCTACGACCTGGAGGAGACGCTTGGCCGTGGTCATTTCGCCGTAGTAAAGCTCGCCAGGCATGTTTTCACCGGTGAGAAGGTCGCAGTGAAGGTCATCGACAAGAGCAAACTCGATGAGGTTTCGAGAGCACACCTTTTTCAAGAGGTAAGCATACAGAGATGACATGGTATTCATTTTTCTTTTTTTTTTTTTTATTATTATTTTTGAATCGTTCTTTGAATTTAGATCCTTAAAAATATTATGAATTTTGAGATAATTTGAGATCCGGAAATTATTAGCTTTTTTTTATATCTTTTGAATTGACAAGTAGATTCTAAAATATAAGTTTTAATATTAGAAAATCATTTTAATTCAAAAATTACGAATGTTCAAACGCAATCTAATGTTGATCTAGATATTCTTATGTTTGCGAAGCAAGAGATAGAATTAATAAAACAAAACAATCTTCAAATCATTGTAAATTAAAACATAAATTATTTCGACGAGTAAAAATTTAGTTAACAATTAATATCTTATTTAAAATGCATATAAAAAATGAAAAACTTGTATTACAATCTCAACAAATTAGGATCCATTAGGTTATCTATTTTTTATCACTATAGTAGACATCTCATTTGCATAACCATCGTCTCATTGAGTATGTGAGTCAGTAATATGCATTTTAAAGATATTTTCTAATTTTATTCGTCGAATATAAATCGATATATAATTGATATGTAAATCGAAAAAGTTTATAATATATTTAATGCTATCTAAAGGAATTATCATGAAATTAGTAAGAAATATTTTTCAAAAAATTCATGTTCATGAGAATATATAAAAGCGATATTCATTCACTTTTTTCTCCTCTTTTTTTTCTGTTTTTTTTTTTCTTTTTTCTTTTCTTTTTTCATTCGTCGCATGTCTCATCAATGCAAGTCGACGAAGGCGACCGCATATCCTTCATCCCTTTGTTCCTGCACCCCTGTGAGTCGCATGAATGGGAATACGTCGAGCACAAAGCGAACCGTGAAGGAAATGGAAACGCGTGCTAATCTCTTCCTTCTTTCCGTTTGCTCGCTCAATGATTGTAATGCATCGCGTGTATCGTATTCGAGAGCACGGGGTTTTCTTCAGTTTCTCTAACCTTTCACATCTTTGCTTCTTCTGCCCGATGATCGAGGCGATCGTACATGGATTTGCAATGGATTTCTTCTTTTAGACGAGAATATTGGAAAGTGATAAGTCGAAATTAATCCAAACTTTTAAAAATAAAAAGCGATAAAATTGATTACACATTTCTTTGTTGGTAGATATAACTTTGAAAATGAATTTTGAAAGAATAGATTTAATCGAAATATGAAAATTTTTGTACATTCTATAAAGAGGCTTTACTTTATCGGATAAATATTATTACTTTGTCATTTGTTATCACTCTTTTTCCATATCTCTCGATTAATTCTCGAAAGATTAATTCTCAAAATATATTCGCCATCATTTTTTTGTAAAGGTCCATTATTCTACTAACTGATGACTATCCTCTTAAAAAAAATATGATGGTTTTGAATTGATGAAATTAATGCGAACATCACTTCATTTTTCAAGTACGTATCACTCGGATAATGCTGCAGCAATAGAATAGGTAATAATCCATTGCAGCCCTCTGTAAATAATAATTCTTTACGTCTTGTTCGAATAATAGGAATTTATATATAAGTGGTTTCAATCAATAGGAATTCATTCAATTCCTTTATCATACATATACATATTCATACAAATTTTATGCCAATCCTGTAAATAATAATTATGATTACTATTCCAGCGAATCTAGTTAATAATCCAATAAAATCAAACAAAGGGAAACTAATTTCAATATAAAAAAAGACATAATTGGATCATATGGATCCAAACACGATAGGAGAATTAGCTCAATAAATGGACCTCAAATAAACTGAATTTCGCAATAGGATAAATTTGATTTCAATGAAGCTCAGATAAACACAATTGTTCCATCAGCTCTAATGCTGCTTCCTACAATCTTCATTATATCGAACATTCGATGTTAAATATTAACGACCGATTGCGTAAGATCCGCTCGACGGCATCGCGTAGGAAATATCTACGATCCGTTTCGAACTTGTAGATCTTGTTAAGGTCAACGAGATAATGGCCGCGATGGAGAGAAGGAGAGAAAGGGTCATTGACCATCCGTACGAGGGCAAATGTCGAACCATCCTGCCCCCTCTGCATACCACCATGTCCGATCATCATCCTCTTTTGTTTCTATGTCCGCAGGTGAGATGCATGAAGCTGGTGCAACATCCGAACGTGGTCAGACTTTACGAGGTGATAGATACGCAAACGAAGCTCTATCTGATCCTCGAGCTTGGCGATGGCGGCGACCTCTACGATTACATCATGCGCCATGACAGCGGCCTCAGCGAGGAGGTATATATCTCGAGATCGTTTCAACATATTCCACTTAATGATCCTGTTTTACCGGAGAAAATGAAGTCATTCTGCAGGCATTGGCTTCGTGCAGAAGTTTTTCTCTCACCTCCTTTTTTTTCCCCTCTTTTTACTATCTTGTCAGTATTCTAGGTCAGTATTTCTTAATATTTTTCTATTTACTCGTGACCCAATTGAAATCTTAACAAACAGTTTCTTAATCATAAAATATATTGCATGCTTTTGTAGTTTAAAATTAATTATAATGTATCAAGTTAGGTATTACTAAATAGTTGTCTTTGAAATATATATATATATAAAATTATTAAAGATTATTATTCCTGAATTTGTGGATATTATAAATATTTATGTATGTTTAGTAGATTTTGCAAAAGTTCATGTTAATTCCTTGGAGATAAGAATGTATTTACGAAGAATGTGGAGTTATTATAATTTTTTTGTCATTTATATTAAGATAATTATATGATTCAAATCATATATTATTTTTTTCGAATTTGATGTTATCGTATTATTAAATTAAAAGAAAAGAATCTATCTCGAAAATTTCAGAAATATATCAACTCACAGCCAAATCATCATTTAAAAATATGTTACAGCTGAAATTATGAACAGTTTCCAAAAATAGCTTTTTTAAATAGATAAAATATTGAATAAAATACTTTAAAACATCGAAATCTAAAATAATATTCAAATCAGTCTAGATATCGATAAAAAAACATTATTTAAAGTAATAATTTTCTAATAATAAACAATATACATTCTTCGAGATGTATCTTAGATCTCTTAATAGTTCTGCTCGCCATATTTCCAATTCTATTAATAACAATTATACCATTGATCAAATTCTACTTATCATATGAATCCACATATGAATCACAAACGAACATAGTCATCGTATACTGAAGATGGAGCATTCCTTACTCATTACCGGAAATGCAGTAAATGGATTAAGAATTTTTGTAGCGAGGCAATGATGTGTTCCATTTCAATTAATTCCATTTCATTCAGTTTTATGGAAACTCGAGAATATCCTCGATTCGTTGTTTTTTCGATGATTGATGGGGCATCAAGGCCACAACCTTTACTTTCTCGAGGTTTCCGCTCATATGCTTTTAATCGATCACAGGTGGCCAGAACGTACTTCCGGCAAATAGTCAGAGCCATATCGTATTGCCATCGATTGCATGTGGTGCACAGGGACCTGAAACCCGAGAACGTGGTGTTCTTCGAGAAACTCGGTACCGTGAAGCTCACCGATTTCGGATTTAGCAATAGATTCTGCCCTGGCCAGAAGCTTGAGACTTCCTGCGGTTCCCTTGCGTATTCGGCGCCGGAAATCCTACTTGGCGATAGTTACGACGCTCCTGCCGTTGGTGAGTACGATAATATCGATTTATTTTTATACTTGTGTCGGTGCTTTCGATAGTTTTAGAGATAAAAAATGAAGCAACGGAAAAATATATCTAACTGTTTTTCATATTTTTTTGCGTCATTGTAAATAAGGAAATGAAGCAGTCAGTGTTACTTAACTCGGTGTTATTTTCAAAGTTACACAACTTAAAAAATAATAGTTCTTCTATGAAATAATTTTGAATAATCAATAGTATCAATATAATGTAATTATTATTTATGTGGTTTACAATTTATAATTTTAATGGATTTTAAAATTAAAAAAAAAAAAATGATTTTTAACCTGTGTTATCTTTTATGAAAGACGTATCGGTATAATTATAAAGTGTTATTAGAAAGATAACGAATGAGTATAGAAGCAATTTTACTAATTTTATTGAATATATTCTGAATATAAACTAACTAATTTTATTGAATATATTCTGAATATAAAAAATATTCTGCATAGTTGCAACATAAAATATTTTTTTTTGTTCTTAAGAAATAACAAATTTATTTTATGCATATCTAATATGCAAAATTTTTTTAATCTCAATTTAAAATAGAAGGAACCACTGGCAATGTTTTATCAACTTTTTTACAATTTACAATTTTACATAAAGTATGTAAGTATAATTCTACAAGTTGTTGAAACAAGTTAGTTGAATTCCTCCTATTTATTATTAAACTTGAACTTCAGCATATCAAAGTAGATCTTTGGCATTCTTTATCAAGAGAGATGTTTGAAAGATCCTAAGACAAAGACCATTGTTACATTAATTTGTATTATCATATCTTTATCATAATAATTTTCTTAGTGAATTTGATGAGAATATCAATCAAGAAATAAATATAAATTTGCTATTATTATCTTTATTCCATTTTCTGAGATATATTCAATAAGATTAGATTTTCATTTTAGGTAATAAATAGAAGGAAATTAACACATTTGTAACTGATGATTAAATAAAGCAATATTTTAATATAAAAAAAAAAACTTATTAAAGTTAAATCTTGATATATTGGTTAAAGTAATTAATTCATCCGTATCAACACGCTTTATATTCATCGTTCCAATTCGCATTTTCAGATGTTTGGTCACTAGGCGTAATTTTGTACATGCTAGTGTGCGGTCAAGCGCCTTTCCAAGAGGCGAACGACAGCGAGACCTTGACTATGATCATGGACTGCAAGTACTCGATACCGCCACACGTATCCGACGGCTGCAAGCGTTTGATCGCGAGGATGCTCGTTAGGGAGCCAGAGGGCAGAGCGACGCTCGAGGAAATAGCGGCTGATCCTTGGCTGGCCATTGGACCCGACTTAGATTCGGTGGAAGCGCTGCCTTTGGTCTCGAGGCAACAGGTGTCTGATGATCATCATAATCATATAATAACTAAGATGGTCAACGGGAACATTGCCACCAAAGAAGAAATATTGGAGTAAGTATGTTTGTTAAATATTCGAAGGAACTCGAATATCTTGTATGAGACAGTACAGAAATCAAATTGATCTATTGAAATTTGTAAATTTTATTACATTGAGAATCCTATCTTGAGATTTTTAAAACTTATAGTAGAATTGATCTTTTTAATCGAGTATTTAATATCTGGTTAAAATTATTTTTAATTATAGAGCTCTGGACAAGAACGAGTACAATCACATAACAGCAACGTATTTCTTGCTAGCGGAAAGAAAATTACGAGCTCATCGTCAGGAACAGGTGCAGAAGATGCGTCCGGAAATCCTCGAAGTATCGCCTAGGTATATTGCACACTAGTACAAAACTCGTTCATAAAGGCAATCAAACATATATTAATCATTCTATATATTTAACTATCGGTTATTTTCAGCCGGCAAGATGACGTGGCCACTAATATGCGTACCGACCAAAATTCATTGAGCACAGTTAACCAATCGTTGTTGAGTGTGCCACGGACACCGGGTGACGTGCCTCAGGTAAGTATTCGATGATTTCTCTTCTAACATACTATCGACTATACAACAAATACGTGCATACAAGAATGTGATAAAAGCAATAAAATAAATCGCGATTTATTACATGAACATTTTTTTTAGAATAAAAAAAAAAAAAAAACGCTTGTTCTCGTTTATAGAATATTCGAACGCGGAAGTGCAGCATCGTCCAGGAGGAAGAAGACGAGGACGATGTGTCCTCGTGCTCGGGTCGCGACGAACGCGGCAGTAATTCGACGTTGAACTCGTTCAATCGCCGTGGTTCCCGATCTGAGGGTAAATTGTCGCACATCCTGCAAGAGAGGCTAGCTCAACTTCCGGAAAAACCGAATCACAAGCCTATATCGTCCCAGCGGAACTCGCAAAAGGACATTAACGTGATTCCTGTAATCACAGACGGAGAGGAGCGACTGATGTCTAGTCCAAAGAGCGGAAACAGTGATTCCTCGTCGCCTGTCCAACAGAAATCGGGGGTCAGACCTCAAGCGGGCAATCAGCTCGCGGACAAAGTACCTGCAACAACGAAATTCGACTCCACGAATCAAGAGAATCTGAAAAATCGTTTCGATGATTCGTTGCCCGGCTGGTCGAGAAGAGGATCTTCGGAAAACAGGCCGAAATCGGTATCAGACTGTTTAAAATCGATGGGACCTGTCCCAGCGAACAAATGGAGGATGGGATCCCAACACCGATCATCTGCCTCGTCGCTGGATTCTTCGTTGACGATGAGTCCGTCGAAACCGTCCGAAATTAGCACGACGACTACCACGACCACTATCCTGACAGAATCGTCCACAGTGTCGATTCCTCTAAGACCATTGACCGGGCTCAACGATAATCTATCGTTGACGCCTAAATACAAGACCATGCCATCACCAGGAAGTACTGGTTCCACGTCTACGCCATTGAATGAAATTCTAGAAGACGGGGATGCGTTGCCTCTATCCGGCAGCGAGAGCGGTGGTTCCAAGTGTCGGGTAGTCAGAAGAACGGGATACGAACAGAGAAAGAGCAAGTTTCACAAGACGCGTACAACCTCCTGCTCGAGTTCTGACGCTAGTGACGATGACAGTGAGAGTAGGAAGAAAAGGGCACACAAATTGAGCACCTCCGCGAGCAAATCGATGTCTTCTCGACGTGACAGTCACGACGATTCCAGCGATTCGCAAGATCCTGGAGGGAGCGGCGGTGGGGGTGGTGGGGGTGGTGGAGGTGAAGGAGGCGTAGGAAACGGGGAGCGTACAACGGAAACACCACCGAGTGAAACGAATCGCAAAGACAATGGAAACAACACCACTACCACAACGACTACAACGAGTGGAGGAAGGCATCGGTGCTCGGAAAATCAGGTTATATTCGGCAGAAGACATCGTGCAGGTAGGAGAAGAGCCGGTGAAACGCGATTACGCGAGAGCCAGTCTTTAAACCGCATCACAGAAGTCCAAGAAGCGGAAGGGCCTTCGGCGTGTCATAATCATCACGTGTCTCGCAACTCCGCTGTTCTAGGAGTTCAAAGCATGTCCTCGTCGTCGTCGTCGGTATCGCAGAGCAGTACAGGCTCTCACGGAGTTCCTCAGCCCTTATCTCAAGCAGCAACGACTGTTCAAAAGGCCAAAGGTTTCGGAGCAAGGCTTCTGCAAAGTTGGTCCCTCAGCGCCGGAAAGTCCTCGTTATCTCAACCGTCGAATAAACACGCGAATTGTAGCCCCAACGGCAGATGTACCAAACAAGAAACGCAACGGGATGCTTGTCAGAGGATCGAGATGTGCGACGAAAGGGAATTGAATGGTGGCTCGGTTAATCAAATACCGTCCAACGACAAAGAAAATAGAAACGGGTCGATGAATAGGAACGATTGCAAGAACAGGAAAATCCGGTTGCTTAGTCGATATTTCGCTGTGCATAAGAAACTTTGTGTTCCATTGCCAGGATTGTTCGGTAAAGGGAGGTTGTACAAGGCTCGATCTTGCGGTAGCATTGCTCGAGACCGTGTCAGTCCACCGTCGCCGAAATCCATGTTGTTTTGCGCCACAGCCGACGACAAGTGGCGGGATCGTCGGCAGTGGTGCGACGCGAAGCATCAGCATCGTGGCAGCGATGGGGACATCAATCAGAACTTGGGTCTGTCGCATCTGGTTCAAGAGAGCGTGGTAGGTAAAGGTTGCAGCGCGTTGCCCGCGGTTTGCCACATCCATCTGGGCGATGCATCCAAATGTTGTAGTCTCTGTTGATGAATCTGCACGGCGAGTAGATTGATGCACAAACGACGACGGAGAAAGACACCGTGGGTCGCCTAATTTTGACCTGAAGTCGCTGGAATCATGGTCCAAGCGACCGAGTAGACGAGAATCGTCACTGTTCCGTGACGAGTAATGATTGCTTGCGATCAGGAAATGGAGAGGAGGCGCGAAGAAGAAGACGCAAGGGAACGTAAGGAGACGTAAAGAGATACGATTATTACGAAGTGCAATCAATTTCATGATGGTCGTTTTGCGTGCAGAGAGGGAGAAAGAAGAAGGTAGAGGGAAAAGGAGAGTGGAAGATGATGGAAAGGAAGATACGCAAGAAGACGTGGTGTGACACGATTAAACGCAAGATAAGGAGAATCTTCTATACGCGATGCGTCGTGTTGATCGTGTAGTTAACAACCGCGGTCTCTCAGCCGATTACGCAGCACGCGTCACAATGGTCAATGTATTCAATCGATCGTGTCATGTCCCCTCCAATAGACCGATGCTGTGCCAGCAGTATCCCGATCCTGTCCTTTTCAAACGCGACGCGTAATCGAAAGAGACTAGAATAGTAAGGGTCATGTTGGAGAGGGAGAGAGCGTTATCGATCGATCTTTCGCTCTGCGGGAAGTGTATCTAGTCCGTGTGAACAAACCTATATTAAAAATTACAGAGTTTATTATTATTAATATTATTATTATTGATATTTTATTATTATTATTATTATTATTATGATTATTATTATTATTATTATGATTATTATTATTATGATTATTATTATTGACTATAATTATTAATATTGTCATTCTCTTAGTTATTGTAATGCAGATATCGACCGAATTGCACGCAGAATCGCGAGGAAAAAAAATCATCCGACGTCCATGGACATTGGAATCTCGCAACCTCGAAGGTTCTTCCTCTTTGTTCCGCTTTATTTATCTGTCTGTCCCCCCCTCCTCCCCCCATTTATCCTTCTCTTTACTCCTGTTCCTTCCATAGATTGCGATCCTTCTACTTTTTCCTACGTGTAACGTAGAATATATTCGTGGCTGTTGCACAGTAGCCTGCTCCAGTGAGTGAGCAAAACTCGTGTTTTCTTTATGAGGGAGACTATACTTCTGTATGTAACACGCTAATCGATTAGGCTTATGCGTATAGCGTATCGATCGAGGAACGTCTTTTCTGGTGCTATACGCGAAGATCTGACGCGACGAAGAAGAAAAAACAACAAAGGAAAATGGAAGATATTGAATTTTTTTAAACTATCTTTTTTTATATTATTATTATTATCATTATTATTATTATTATTATTATTACTATTATTATTATTATTATTATTACTATTATTATTATTATTATTATTATTACGTCCTAGGGGATAAATACGATGATACGATACGAATGGAAATGATGGAAGATGTGCATAGGAAAGGAAGCATTGAAACTCTTCAAAAGAAAGTTTGAATGTGAAAAGTTCTAAACTTTCAGTTTTATAGAGTGCTTGAGTAACAGAAAGAGAAACAAAGTGACCTGAATAAGAGTAAAGTTGCTGTTACAACTTTTAAAATAAGGTACAAGGTTTAAGGAAATATATAACTTTGCTACCACAAGGGCATAAAAATCAAAAAGTTTTGCCCATCGATAACTGTTAGTTAAATCAATGAACAAGAGACTGCTATACTTGACTGTTTTTTTTTTTTTTTGAACTGTAAATCATAGTTATAAATCAAAAGAAAAACTGTTCTTCAAGAAGATTCAACATTCTGATACCAAAGCGACAATATAAAGATCTGGAAATTCTTTGAATTGAAAAAAGAAATGAAATCTCCTAGGACAAATTTTCGTAATTGAAAGATCTGTATATGCACGATTTCTTCTCGTCGTCAAGTTCAAGAGACGATCCTCTTCATTCATCGAAGCTATTGGCAGCAAGTGTCAGCGCGCTTGCCGGCTGAGCGCGTGCTTCATTCTTCATCCTCTTCGTTTTGAACGTCATCGTCATCGTTGCCGAATGCACGCGTTCATTTTGTTGGAGAACGCAGGATGACTGTCGCTTCATGAGAAATATTTGCTGAAACAAATGTAACTGTAGAGTAGAATGTGTAACTGGGAATTTATCCATGACAAAATACGCTCCTTTTCTGCGTCGATCAATAAAGCTGCTGAAGATTAGGTCAGATAGAACTTTGTGAAACTTCACGGAACTCTGTAAATTGTTTGCTTCGAATATAGAACGCGGGCCATTCGGCAGAATTCTCGTTGAACTTAAGCGATGTACGTGCACACGCTTTTTCACCTTTTATATATATATACATATATGTCGTTATGATGAGGTGGTGCATCGATTGAAGATCGAAATTGTGTATTTGTTTTAATAGCATAATAGAAAAAAATTAAGTATTTAACCCCTTGTCTTTGAACATTAAATAATGCGTAGTAATAATTGATAAATTTAAGATAAATTTAATAAAATTTATATTGAATTTTTTATTTTTAATATTTCATCATAAATCAATTATTTAAGTTACACATTATGAATAATATTTTTATATTATTCTCATGTTAACATTTACTAAGTAATTACTAAAGCAAGGGGTTGTAAAAAAATAAAATATGTTGATTATTTCGTAAATTTGTATTTCTAGGACTTATTACATAAGCGATACATTTTTAGAAAAGATATATTCCTTTCATATTGGAGTTTAAGGATTCATTGGTACTGCTAATATAATAATTGAAGGATTTATAACAAATACAATTCTTGTCAAATTTTAATTATGATTTGATTTAATATAAATAATTTAATATTTTATTGTTATTTATAATTTGATTTTCTAATAAAAAAAATTCAAATCTATTGAATGAAAATGAAAAATATCTTTTTATTATTGAAAAAAATAAAAATTGACAAGCGTCGTTTTTCTGTAAATCCTTCAATTCTTCTTAACTGATTGATGTTTTCTAAGAAAGAGTTACTAAGTAGTAATGCTGGATAACTATTTGCTCTAGTTGTGAATCACTGTCAGTATTTCTTACCGCAATATAGTGCGTTTGTGACACTCTAAACATATCTATAACAATTTTTCAATATCTAGATAGAATCGTAGAAATCGTTTGTGCCATTTAGTCTCTTTTTCTAAATTCGCTGTATATGATATATAACTATTGTTCGTTGACATAACACAATCTAATTCTAGATATTCGTATAAATTTAGAATTGAAATTTAATATCACAACAGGGACCACATCATCGCAGTCCAAAATTCGTCTCATTGCTTTCATAGATTAGAAGATAGAACGAAAAATTAGGATAGAAATGATATAGTTATTTTATACGTATAATGTTCCTTTCTTCTTAATGATCTTACTATACATTTTACCTTTTTACAATTTTCGAAAATATTCGAAAGTAAGGATATCCATATTAGTTAGTATTGATGAAAATCCGAGCATGAAAATCTTTTCTAAAAGAGAATTGCTTATATTCAGAGTCCTCGAATGTTAATTATTATTTAGTTCTATATTCACGAAAATCTAAATTTTTATATATTTAGTGGATATTATATTTTTATTATTTATCATGTTATAACAGAATTTTAAAATGCCCCTTTCTATTATTCTCTATCTTTTTTCTATTTTTTTCTCCTATTCTACATTTGCATTCATTAGTATCATATATATAATTAATTTTAGATTAATGATTGATTAATAATGTTTTATGTTTGAATAAATAATAATTTCAAGCATGAGACATTATTAATTAATAAATAAATTAGTATGTATTATAAATTTTTTCATATAACTTTTTAGTAACTTTTATTTTGTTTATATTATACACATATCATTATACTGAATGTGTTAATCCAATATTAGAAACCAACTCTCAATAATATTTCTCAATAATATTTAGATTTGCGTATTTTCAAAACAAAGCCGACAATCCGATCTTCGATTTTCGAATAGCACCTCATTAATAATTCGACGTCCCTCCCAAGTAGGCCAAGAGCGTTTGTATGTACCTAAACTGTACATCAGGTGTACGAATCTATGCGTAAAACTGTATGTACCGAGCCAGATATTTTTTAGTAATACAATTTATTTATTGTACGTCATGTGAAGAAAGAAAGAGAGAATGAACGAGCGAGAGAAAGAAAGAAAAAAGGACGATCTTTTCCAATCGTCACTGCCGACGATCGTCAATCCCCTCCCCCTTTTTCGCTTTTTTCTCATTAATATAACTTCTCTCACCCTCGTGCCGTCACTTCGAAAACGAGATCGTTTGCTTCCTCCACAAAGACTGAGCAAATCGTACAATAAATTTCCATAATCGCTTGGATGCCTTGTGTCGTACGATGACGATGACTCGACGAGACCAAAAAAAAAAGAAGGAAAGAAAGAAAAAGAAACGAACGAATCACATGTCGAATATGATGTCACGAATAAAATCACTCTTCTTCAATCACATTTTATTCGAATCGTGATAGTGCTATCGAATGTGCACCTTATCCTATAGGTGAATTGTTAAAGAAAAAAAAAAAAAAAAAAAAAAAAAAGAATAGTAATATTAAAAAATAATAATAATAATTTACATTCAACGAATTTGTTCATCGTTTCGAGTCCCAACGAATCGCGACCAAGGTGTAAAACGGGCATTAAAACTATTTCCATTCAATGGAGATTTAAGAAAAGAAGGTGAAGGGAAGAATAAAGAGAAAAAGAGAGTGTGAGAGAATTAAAAGAAAAAGAGAGCAGGAAAACCATGACGCGTGAATTTTGCTATTTAGCTGTAGAGCTATCCGGAACCAGAGTGACGTGCTTTGTTACCGGGCATTATGGATCACGGTGGTGAATTCAAGCTTGACCAATTACATATACTTACACACAGACACATACATACACAAATATACTTTCCCTTTGAAACAATCGTAGAATTGTACGCCGTGTGTCCGTTCAGTTCGATCACTTTCTACGCGAATAATTATTAAATTAGAGATACCTTTACAAATCCGCGAGAAAATAGAAAAAAAAAAAAAGAAAGAAAATAAAGAAATTAAAAAAAAAAAAAAATCGTTGAATGTATGCCTGCAGCTGCAAGTAACTTAGCGATTCTTGCATCGAGTTATCCGCTCGAAAAAAATTTCCTGCGCGACGCCATGTTAAAGCGGATGCTATTTATGATAAATAAGAGATATTTTCGTGTTATAAAAATGAATCCATTAGCGGCAGATGCGCCCATTCCGTTGCGTTGTAAAAAAGGTGAAAGAAAAGAGAAAGAAAGAGAGCACGATAATAAATGATAACGAGGATTCGGTCGAAAGGGTTGCCAAGAAGGAGATGCCGCTTCGTATAAATTGACGAAGCGTCGTTTCACATTAATTCTCGTTCGCTAGTCCCGTCAAAGTTGTCCCTGGACAACGATACGCATAGAGTACAATGTCCCCGTGGTGATTTTTGTATAAGTGAACATAAAGTATCCCCTCCTTTTTTCCACCGATGCTGTACACATCCATCAATTGCCCGTGTCTCGATTTTAAGCGAGGATAAAAATGCGAAGAAGAAGAAAAAAAAAGAAAGAAAGAAAGAAAAGAAAAAAAAAGTGAAAAATAAAAGAGAGTATATACATATTATTAAGAAAAGTGTCCGCTTTAGATTTCGTAAATGTCAAACTTACTGCCAGCTGAGTGTAACAAAGAAATAAAAAAAAAAAGTATAAAGATCTATTTGCGTGAGCCGGTAATAAAGACGACGTGTGTCGTCGTTGTTGCAATGTGCCGGAAACGCATAATCATTCATGCAATAAACTGTGTGCCCGAAACAAATAAATGAAAAAAAAAAAAATAATAATGAACCACGAGGAGCGAGTCTCTGCTGATGTTGTGTCTAAGTTTCTTCCACGTTGATTTTCCTTTCCCTGAGAATTTCTTTTTATACTTTCCAAATAGCAGCAGGAGATGGTTAACTGTTATCATAGAGAGAATAAAAATTGCGGTTGCTCAAGGCCACTGAACCACCGTTTTTTTACTCGTTCAGATGTCTTCTGTGATATTTATGCTGTTTAAAAAAAAACATGTGGTAGAAGCTTGGCACCTTTCCTGGTAATTATTTTTTTCTTTTCTTTTTTTTTTTTTATATATATAGATTGTGGAAGCAAGGATCGTATTTAGAATAATGTACGGGAGGAATGGCCTTGAGTAGCCGACATTTTTAGCTTGGAAAGCCTCGTTTAGATCAATGAAAAGAGTGAATTCAAGTTTACGTTTATAGAAGTTGCTCGAGTTGTTTGAATTGAAGCAACTTGGTTTCAAATAACAAATGTTTAATAATTTCTGCCAATATAATTGAACATGAAGCATTATCAAATTTTAATGCTATATTTTCAATAGTTCTATCCTATACTCTAATCTAAAATAAAACGTTCATATATCATTAAAATAACTTAAAATTATTTAAATTCACTTGAAATCAAATGAATTAATTAACATCAATGAGGCTTGACATAAGGGTAAAAGATAAAAAATCATGGCTTTTAAAATCAGATAAAATTTATATTTATCATCAAGAATATTCATAAGGAATTTTATTAATCGTCTAAAATTATAATCGTCTTTCGCGGGGAAGATGATCATATAACTTAAAGCTGTGACCACGTTTAAAAATAACATTGTACTTGTTCATCGTCAACAATCGATCATCGAATGGTGTGACGCCTTAGATATACGTGTCATCAATGGGCGGTTTCATTACACGAAAAAAAATATATATATGTATATATACATACAAACATATTGGTCGATGCGACTACAATTACTCGGATAGCCAAGCAACTGCACCAGCGCACTTCCGCTTGCAATATTACCTTTTGATCAATTTTCGGCTTGCTGGCACACGTTTAAATGTGACTTTTGGCAACGTAGTTCCAAGATTCGAAATCGTGTTCCAAGACGTTTCACGCCACGTATTTCACAATGTTAATGTGATCACTCATCGCTCGAACTATCCGAGTATTATTATTTATACGCATATATGATACAAACTTGAGATAGTTTATTCGATACAAAAGCTATACGATTTATTATCAACACGAGTAAATGCATATGAACGATTTGTTTCTAAAACAAGTCATGGAAAAACTGGATTGACTTTTTAACGAATAAAAATAAAAAATATTTGATTTCTTGATAATCATGTAGGAACCGGAATGTTCGATTTGTTCGTTTATATAACAATCTTCAGAGCTATGTAACAAGCTGCAGATGTTGCAGTCAATTTAATATCCTGTGCTTATATTGAGACACAGAGTTTTTGGATGACGAAAGCTCGAGGTAATTCATAACAGAGTGACAATGACAATAATTCTGTTCATCCTTGGTAATGGAAGAACGTGAATATATGTGCGTACACTGGATTTATCGGTAAAATACATGTACAGTATTACAGTATTACGTGGAAATTGTAGTTAAGTTACAGACTTCTTCTTTCTCTATACTTATAGTTTTATTTAAAATCGATTCTTAGCCTATTCAAAGTTTTTCCTCGCAATATTATATTTAAATATATTTATAAATATATTTCGTTTTAAAATTATTTAACAGCCATATTATATATCTGTTTATAATTTTTTTTTCATTGTCATATAATCAATGATTAATTCATATAAATATTTTCATATTTAGAGACATATAAGAAATGTTTACAAATGAAATAGCTTCTGATGGCAGTAATATGCTCATTCATACTTCTAAATATGTAGCCTTACATATTTATATTCTATATTTTAGAATAGGAAAATATTAACAATTTATTTATATTATTATTCATTTTTATATTTATATAACAAGTTTTTTTATATGTTAATATTAATTTTGAACAGATTTATATAACAAAGATTATATATCATTCTTTCCTGTAATACTGTACTTGTAATTAAAAATAGAAGTGAAAAACATTTGGTTTATTTTTGGAAAATTCTGATGCCTATGGCTGAAAGATTTAGTATAATTGACGTTCATTCGCCAGATTTTCGTGTGTTTTATGCCATAGTAAATCTGAAGATCCTTGCATTTCCCAAATGTTTAATAAGAGCAATCGAATCTTTATGACTCAGCAGCATGATGGTTCGCGTATTGGAGTGCTTTTTTGCTATTTTCAACAAATTCCTAAAATAAAAATAGATAGAAATGAAAATCGTGAATAAAAATATAATGCAATATAAAAAAAAAAATCAAATTGAAAATAAAAGTTAATCACCATCAATCCACGGCTCATGAAGTAAGGCCTATTGATGCCATCATTCTTCTCGCAGTCTTCGCAGAAACAAATGAATATCGTATCTATGATCATCTATAAAAAAAAAATAAATAAATTTCACAATTATACATTGTTTTATATAATTAAAATTAAAATTCGAGAGAATTAAAGATAAAGAAAGTTCTCAAATTTGTCTTTAATTTAATTTCAAGTCATATTAAATTATTATTTTACATTATTATTATTATTATTATTATTTTTAAAAATTTTATTTAAAAAATTACCTCATAGATGGAAATAAAGCAATGCGCCACTATGAAAGCAAAAACTCCAGCCAATGCAATTGGTATCCATGGATAATGGAGTCCTTCTTTCTTCTAAACACAAAATAAAATTAACAAATCTACGTTAATGAAATAAAAGATTATGAATGAACATCGATATACCTGAATTAAATAAATTCCTGAAACAACTGTTAACGTAACTACTAACACTTTTCCTAAAAACAGGACAAAATCTCCAACACTATTAATAGCTGCAACTCTTAATATATTGCTGGACAAAACTTGGAAAGCCTTTTTACCCCCTCTACAAAAATTACATCCATATATTGCTGAAAAAAAAAATTAATAAAATATATCAATAAGATTTAAGAAAATTTATTAAATATTTATCAAAAAAGAAAAGTATTATTATTAAATTTTATGTAAAATACCTGTTTCGATATAAGCGTTCCTGGTGAGAAACTTTAAAACGCATTCGAAAAGCCAGAAACAACAATGGCAGCACCATAATATTACTCGTACGAGATCATTATCGTAATGTTTCAGACGATTTTGCACGAATAAAATAATAGCTCTTATCAATCGAACTATACCAATAATCAGTGCACCAAATGCGACCGTGCCCAAGTGATATCGTGTGAGATAGCAAAAACCACGAGCAACTGGCAGAGAGAGTTGGTTCTTGTTTCTGTTCAAACAAATTTTTTAATGAGATATACGATTTATGCACGATTAGAATTGGTTTCTATCGAGAATATATTCTACGAAATCACATTTTCCTTTCTTATTTTTTTTTTTGAAACTTATTATCGTAATTATTTTTGGTTTATCAGACACTATATATTTTATTAAAACTATTACAATGAACAATTTAATTTAAGAAAGATTTAAATCTAAAAGTCTAAGACTTCTCATCATCAAAATGATGATTGATTAAAATTTGATAAAATCGTTTTCAATATGATTTTTAAAATCTAAAAATATCATATTTTTTTACGATAAAAATCTTAGTAATAAAAAAATAATAATTTTTTAAATTGTTCATTATACATTATACATTATATATTCCTTATAATTTAATTGCACTATAAAGATCTTAATGGAAATATCAAGTCTATTTATATTTAGTCAAATACAAATGGATAAAAAAAAAAGAACACGGAAATTTCCATTGTATAATCAGATAGAGGACAGTTCATGTGTGAGCCATAATATCGATCATTGTGTCACCTGGTGAAGAACCAACGTGCAACAGCGAGGGCAACAACCATATGCTGGCAGCCTAGAAGGAATTCACAGGTGACGAAGAAGAAAAAGATATTGTACCATCTACTTGCCTGCAAAATATTACCTTTCTATTATTTCTGTTTTTATAAAATTTTAATTCATAATCACTTACAATCACAATGCTATCTTTCCGGAAATGGATGTGATTCTTCTTGTTCTTGTAAATATTTCCTGCGCTTTCTATCCAAAGCATGCAATAAATCCAGGCACATACAGTGATACCGATCAAGAGATAAGTCTGAAAAATAATTTTATATGTTTTAAATATTCTTTTGAATTAATTAATTCTAGAAGATTCAATAAAAATGATTCAAAATCATTTTTCCATTAAATTGAAAATTAAATTTAGAAAGGTAATACTTTTCTTTATTTATAGTACTTTTGTTATCGAAGAAATTCTTGTTATGAAAGAGAAATATATTAATAGAGTGGACAGTTTTCACTAATAAATTGTATTTTTTCCTTTCTATACATTTTTAAAATATTTATTATTGTTATTTACTTGACTCGGATAAATTTTGATTAATAACTTTTGTTACATGGCTGAAAAATCGCTTTAATAACCTATATAAATGATTAATTTGAATATGCCACTAGACAATTTTGAATTTATGTGATTTTCTATATATTTCTCTTTGGAGATATTTTATCAAAATAACTGTCTATTTTATAATAACTATAATACTATAAAAAATAATTATAGTACTATGTTATGAAAGATATATTATAGCAGTGATAAAAGAATAAAAGATTCAACGTTTGATGGAATTTTTATTTTTAGCATTAGAATTTAGTATCTCCCAAGATTCCTTAAACCATTTTTCCAATAATATTCGATTACAACGCCAGGCAATATTCTATTTCTTTGTCACATGTCACGAGAATTCAAAGAAGAAAAGAATGAAATAAAAATTGATAGAAATATGAAGTACCAGTTTTCATAACATAAAATGGCAATAAAATCGTACACGTAAATCGTACGTAAGATAAAGATAAGAAAATATAGTATATAAAAATAATAAATACAAATATATTTTACGTATACGAAGAAGAGAAAAAATCTTATCAACAGCTTTGGATTCGTCGATGTGTTACGAATTTATCAGGAAAATATCTCAGGTGGACAAAAATGTTGTCTCGCCTCTGTGTATACTAGTCTTATCAAATATTTACGTATATAGGCTGGAGAAGAAGGACTGGCATTGCGTAAACAGCTTTTCCTGCTTCACGGAACAGTTGCATTACGAGAGCGATTCTTTTTCTCATCACTAAAACGATCAAAAGTGTGATGACCTGTAAATTATGTCAAATCAATTACATTAATATTGTATTGTTTAAAATTACGAATAAAAGATTTTTAAATTTACTTTGAATAGAATCTTAAATAATGATCATTAATTTATTTCGAATTTTTTCAGAATAATATTTTAAATTTATATCTTTTGAATAATATTTCAATACATTTTAAAATAATTATAAATGGACCAAAAATAAAATTTATAATTGAAATAACAATATTTCTTACCGTAATAACAGTCAACGTGATTGCATAAATGAAGTAAGACTGTTCACTCGAATCTTCTTCTGTTATTTTGTGTGCTTCTACCGCTTTCCTTTCTGCATACCAGGCTAACCTGTAGAAACAATATTTTTCATTCAAAATCTATCGGTAATACAATTTTCAATTATGAATCTTCTTCATCAGAAGTAACGAACTTGATCGCCATATACTCTATTTCTAAATAAATCTAAAAGATAATTGAAAATAAATAAATCTTACCAAAGATACGTTGAACCACCGATGCAAGCTAGAATAACACCAATTAGGACCATGTAAACGACCCATTGTACTAAATAACGGAAGGCAATCAAAATAGCCACTGAAATGCCTAAAGATGAATTTAAGAAAAATGGATTTCTTAAGAAAGAAATTTTAATAAGAAATAAGAAATAAGAAAAAATGAAACTTGTACCTAAAGCGATCAGCAATAAGTAAACGATCTCCCTCCAAGCAACAGTAAGATCTCTGCAAGCCTCCTGAAAAGTGAATTTATTTTTGTGAAAATATTTCAGAAAATTAATTTAAGGCTAAGAGATGAAGTTGGATAAAGTTTTTTAGAATTGTTCTTATTAAATTCACGTAAGTTCTTTAATTTATCTAACACACAGATTACATTTCTTATATTAATTTTCCCATTGGAAGTTTAATTCGATATTTATTCGTTTTTTATTCCATGTTAAAGAAATTAATGTTTAATTAATAATTAATGATATAAAATTATTAATTTAATTTTTAATTTTGTTCAAATAAGAAATGTACAGACCTTGTAAAAATTATCCAAACCGAGCTTATTAATCAGAGAAGTGATTGTTTCAGATATATCCTTAGGCACACAACGGTTCAGGAATACCATATGTCTAAAATATAAGGAATAAGAATCATGTGAAAATAATTTTATAAATATTATCTTAATTTATTATTTTGCTATTCATTTATTTTTAGTTGTGCAATACATTTAAAAGGTAATTTTACTTTATAGTTCTAATAAAATTTTTACTATTTTAATGAAATAATTTTTTTTACAATTAAAAAAAATGGAGGAATATTGATCGAATTTCAATTTTTCTTCTAATATTACTATTCATTTTTATTTCTATAGTTTTGTTAACAAAAAAATGTAAATTTGCATAAATATCTAACAAAAAGTTTCATTCTTCAAATCTGAAGTGTTATTACTAATACAAATAGTTTAAATAAATATATTTATACACATTTAATGCATATTTAAATTTAAATGAATGAATAATGAATTCTTTGGAAATAAAAAATTATTAAAGAAAACCTTCTAAATAAAGGAATAAAAAAAAGATCAAGAATCCTATATTCTAACTGTATAAAAAAAAATTTAATAAAATTTTGACAAAATGAAATTATTTTTAGACAATTTTTCTTAAATGATGATCAATATTCCTTCATATTTCACTATATAAATCATGAAATACTAACTGATCGGTGCAATTGTTTGTGCATTCGCGTTTTTTCACACCGCTTTCATCCATGGTGATCTTCAAGTACCTGTGGGAAATGAATAATGAATGAGCAAACGGGTGTTAACGAACGACCACAGCGAAAAGTGTCTCTGAAAATTGGAAAGTCATCATTCGGTATGTATTTTCCATCCTGTATCGAATTTATATGCAACATTCACGCTAATTAACCGCATTATTTCACACAGCTAAGTTCCCCGTCGAGATTTTATGTAGGATAATAAACGAGGCCGTGGGTGAAAAAAGATGGGACAGAATAGACTCGATAAGGATTAGTTCTGATCTTAATTATAAATAGATTCGAATATCATATAGATCAAGTACGAATTATTTATACGTATTTTGAAAAAAAAATGGAATAGAACAAATCCTCACTTTTAGATTAATGAACTGAGATAAAATAAGAAATTTAATTGCTTATAACTTAATAAACAAGCCTCAATCGATATTTTATTTGTCTTGATTTTTTTTTTAAAATTAGATTATCAAAGATGGTATGTTTCAGAAATACATTGTTATCTCTATTAATTAGTAACAATCTTATAAAATGAATTTTTTACATTGCGTTTTGTTTTAGATTTAAAAGAGATTTACTTATTGAACCTAATTCCATCATTAATCGAGGAATGCATATCTATAATTTCACGTATTTGTGTGCTCGAAACACCATCGCGACACCTCGCGGCCGAGGAATTATTAATATCGTTAGCGGATCCTATTGTCGTGAACTTGTTTCATTCATTTGGCCGTCGACATGGAATATTGAATCCGGCATTGTTGTCGGGGTTATGAAGTTCGATGTTAATGCGCCGACGAATTATTAATCCTTTGGGAACGATGGCTCTCTACGTAAAGGTTTGGATATCGTGAATGTATCCACTAGGCAGTGGTATGCGCGGATATTTCGATAGATTGTTGTTGTTACTATAGATATTATCGTTAATGTTTATGAGGATAGAATGGATTGGAAATCAGTGGTGAGTAGTTGATATTAATTTCGATTGTCGTGTAAGAATGTGTTTTCTATGAATGGAAAAATAATTCGTATATAATTGTAGATTTTTATGGCGTAATTTCTTTTTTTTATAAAACAGGTTGAAATTAAAGTTTCGTTGATAAACAGGATAAAAAAGTCCTCGTTTTCTATCGTCTCTGCAAAGCGATCAGTGTTTGTGTTGTTGTGTTGATCAAAATTTGTGTTGAGAATTAATTATGAAAAATTAATATAAAATAATTATTTAAAGTAAAAGAATTATAAGTGGTTTATTTTAATATTCTATTATTTGGAATAAATAATTTAGATATATATAATTTATTTTATTTTGAAAAAGAAAAATTTCGTAAATTATAAATTACATGAATAATAAAATTTAAATCTTAATTTTTATATAATGGATGAAAATATTTTCATTCTATTAAAAATTAATAACCATTAATAACAATTAATAAAAAATATATCAGTAATTACATTATTAATAAATATTGTCTGTTTTTTTTTATAGTTTCTTATAATTTATTCCTGCGATGAGAAATATCATATTAAAATTTTAGATGCTGGAAAAATTCCAAATTTGATCAAGTTTTCTACGTTCTCTTTTGAACAGTGAATGGATCCAACCATTAATGTCTTTATCGAAAATATGAGACTCTTGCAGTATGATAGCATATATGCATAACCGGTGTTTCATTCATATGGATTCTTCGATATTTAAACGAAAAGTACTATAATTCGTACAATGTCATTTTTTAAATTTATTAAAATCATTTATATATTTTTTATCATTATTATTATCATTATTATCATTATTATAAAGAATAAATCTCAAGCATGTGTAACATAATAAACTTTCAAATAATTTTAAATGATCTATCGAAAATCGTAATGATTTTAAATAAGATTAAGAAATAGCATATTTTATGATTTTTCTATGTTTTTCATTTCAAGAAATAAAAATTTAGATATTTATTCCCATAAATTTGTGAGATCTTTTTTCTTTTAAAGTAAAAGGGTAGGACGAATCGAACATAAGAAAATTCTTAATTAATGAAATAAATAATTGTGTTAAGTTTCTTTTAAATTAACAAGTATACCATCATGTTTCTTTCTGCCCTCTTTTAACTAAAATAAAACATTTTTTTTTACTTTCCAATTTATATTGAAATATTTTAACTTCATTATAAGTTTCTTCAAATCAATAGGAGAAGTCTCAAACAAGATAATAAAAACTATATAGTTTTCATTTATATTTTCAAATATAGATAAAAGATATTTTAATTATCCTTATACGACATCGAAATTTCAGATAAACGAAACACCCTGTATATTTGTATCATCGAAGCTCCAGGCTGTAAGCCATTTTGTAGAAAGCGTGCCGACGTTTCGCCATTGCGGCTAACTTCATTATCCCCGGGTATCAGTGGATCCCTTGACACCTGATGAAGTTAGCCGCATCAGTGACGACACGTCGCCGTAACACTGTTTCCAAAAGAACAAATCCAATAATGGTATACTTCCTTCTTTCCTTCCTTTTTTTTTTTTTCCCCTCCTTTACCATCATTCACATCACACTTCGCGTCACACACGTCACATATATCGATCATCGAACAGGGATTATAAGTTATAATACTTACGGATTCTTCGTGTTGTCACCATTCTTACTATCCAGGCATTGGAATTCGGGATGAGACGGAGTGACACGGCCGCAAACATTCCCGCAGTCATCGTAGCCATTTATAATGCGGTAAACGTCTCCTTTCTGAACAACGATGCTCAACAGGAAACCCTGTGCAACAAGAAAACGTTGTGTGCATTTTCCACCGGTATTGTATCGTGTGTTTCGATCGTGTGGAAACGAAATTTAAGAGAAAGAGAGAATAGAAGATACACATATACACACGTACATACATATATATATGTATATAGATAGATAAACGTACAAAACCGATGATCAGACCGATCAGAATGATCAAAGTGAGGATATCAGTGCAGGATCGATCGGTGACGAAAATCTGGTCCGAGTGCCTCGACGACATCCCTTCGTTTTCCGGTGTCTGAAACGGAAAGCATACGAGGATCGTGACTGTTTTACCGAAAATCGTGTCAAGCTTCACTTTTTTCCCCCCTCCCAGGTAAAAAGTTGTAATATCTGTTGGCAAACAGGTAAATCAAATTCCAGGTGAGTGTAAGTTTTCCGGTTTCATTTCTGGTTATAATAAAATGTTTAAATGGTGAATTATCTTTTTTTATATTATATAAATATATGTGAAAATTTAATATTTATTAGATGAATTTTTGTGGATATAAAAACGAGACATGAAAATATTCAATTACCTCAATAATAATTTTTATTAATTTAATAATAAGAATTATTCAAGAATATGTTTCGATGAAGAATTGTTTAATTTTAATTTAATTTTAATATAGAAAAATAGCTTGCTTTTGTTAAAATAATTTTTTAAAAATATAATTAAAAATTCTTCGTTTTCTTGTTTAATTTTCACATAATTACAATTGATCAATGATGGATTATCGAAAATGGGTAATTTTTAAATAGATGAATTGATTGATAATTCAAAAATCAGAAATGAAGATATCTGTTTATCTAACCTTGTTTCTCTTTTCGAATTGATTAAATTTTTATATCTCATCAAAAGAAATTGTTTAATTTTACAAAAATTTCATAATTAAAAAAATAATATTTTTATTAAAATTAGAATATTTTTATAGAGATATAATTAAATTGAAAAGAATTTATGAATTACAAAAAAGTTAAAAATAGGTTAAATTTGATTTTTTAATGAATAAATGGAAAATTAATAATAATGAAATAAAAATTTATTTTATAATTTTAATTTTTAAATATATAGTATACTTTCATTTAATAACTATGCATATATTCAAATATGCATATATTCAAATATATATTCATATATTTCAAATATATGAATATAACAGATATTTAATAATATAATAATAATTTATTACATAATAATATAAATAGAATTATAGAATATATATTATTACATTGAAATGTATTAGAAATTGTGTTATAATTAACAAAGTAAATAATTTATTATATTCATAATTAGTTTAGTATTTATACTATTTATACTATTTATATATCACATATATATTTTAATTATTTGGCAATAGATATTTAAAAAAATATTATCCATTTCAAAATTGAATTTAATATTTTTACATGTATATCCCATATTTCTATAACAAATATTCAAAAAATCTTTTATTAACATTTCATATAATATTAAATTTAATATTTTACATTTTCATTTCCATTCTCATTTTTCTCATATTCCTATTTTTATATATAGTCTTATCACCAAACAAAATTCCAAATCAGTTTTCCATTATCCTATAACCTCCAAAAAAAATGTTTCATTACATTCAAAAATCATCCATTTCATAGTTAAATTCAACGTTTTTACATATAAATCCCTTTTTTCTCCTCCTCCCCCTCGGATATACACAAAAGTTTCCATTCAAAAATCAGAGAACAGAAGGGAAAAAGTGTGGGATCGATCAATCGAACGCGAGAAACGTCTTTCCCCGTAACGATCGAAAGCGTGGAATCTATTGGCCGCGGTCAGCATTCCAGTAAATTTTCAGCTCGGTGAAATCGAGCGTGGTTAAACGCTTTCAGCGAGAATCCGCGTCGTTTCAACGGCATAACGGGAGTAACAGGGGGAGTAACCCTGTTACAAGTCGAACGATCGTGCTCCTCCCCTAAATTAATTAGACTGTTCGACGGTGACCTTGCATTAGCGTGCCGCCCGTAATTAAATCCGCCCTCTTACACTCTTGGTCCGTCTTATTAAAGGCGCGCCATTACATCCCATTGATAACATCATCTGATGAGATACTCCTATACCACACCGTCAACATTTCTTATTTATACCTCGTTCTCGCCATTAATTGCGATTCTCTCTGGGGCAAACCGCCTTCATATTCGAGTGAAAATTTCGTGGTTTATGTTAATTTAATAAGGGGACATATTGTTATTTTATTATTTATTTTTTCGTTGGAGGATGCGATTAGCGCATTACATTCTTATTGCAATATGCTTTGGAAAATAATTGTCGATAATTCACGAGAGTTTTATTATATTTATTCGTTGTATATATTCTTTATAACTTTAATTTTTCTTCGAATTAGATTGGGGCGTGTATTTAATAATAAGTAGAATGAATTTTTAGGTATTAAATAATATTATTCTTATATCGTGCTTGTATCGTTGCTTATATCGTGTTGTTAAATCTTGACTATGTTCATTTCATAAGTTGATAGAGAAGAAATCGGTCATTTTGTATTTCTTTTCTAGAATAGTTCTCTGAGAGATAGATTTGATATTTACAGCAATTTAATCTCTTTCATACAAATATTTTATAATATTAATTCTCAAAAAAATAACATATATTTTTAAATGTAAAACAGTTAAAATTTGAAAAAATATTTTTTCTTTTTAAAAATCAAAGAATATATATAATTTCTTAGTTCCTTTGATTTATTCCAAAATTCTATTCCAAAAATGTTTTCATTTTAGTGTTTTCATTCATGATAAAAAGTACGTTAATTCTATTTTAATTATATAATTAATGTTACGAAATATTGGATATATTTTCTTCTCATAGGAATATTACAAATTTTCACAATTTTTCTAAAATATAAGTTCAAACATAAACAATTATTTTTTTTCTTTGACTTATTTAACTTTTCCTTGTTACTACTTTCCGGTTTTCTTCTCGAGTTGATTAAGCTTTTACGTTTCATTAAAGGATTGTTTAATTTTTAAAAAAATTTATGCTTTTGTTAAAAGCAAAAAGCTTTGGTAGGAATTATCTAACTTGTAATTTACGTTGACCTAATTTCTAAAAATCTCACTATGTGATTTACTTAATTTATTATTTTCATTATACTGGATGACCTCATGTAACGGGATGTGAATTCATTTTAACAAATTTTATCATATTATAAATGAAAATTTTTTTTTAAATAATAAAAAAAGATAGAATGTCTTATGAAAAACATCTTTTTAAAAATTCAAGAAATAATAATTATTGTAAACGAATGATTTAGTGATGGGATATTATGAATATAGTAATAAAAGATTTGTCAATTATTATAAAAAATTATTTTTTAAAATTTATTTTAGTGTGTTTCAACAAAGTATAATTATATAATTTGTATAATATCTACAATTTGTAATTTTATTTTTTAGGATTTAAAAATTATATTAAAGATTTGATTTTTCCAAATATTAAAATATATTTATGAATACATTTTCAACTATTATAAATAAATATAATTCTTTTAAAAATATTTTCTAAATAGAGAAAATAATTACCATCAATTATGAATAGTAATAGAATCTCACAAAGTATAATTTTTATATTGAAATAATGGAATGGTAATTATAATATTCTTGAGTACATATTAAAATTAATTTTATTTCTAATCGGTGTAAGTTAAGAAAGATGCAAAATTCACGCCATTTGTGGTGTTATATATAATAAGTTACACATTGGTCAAATGTTCAAAGTAAGAGGTGAGAGAATAAATTCTTTTTATTAATTTGTTAGAAAATTCGTCGTGTAGCTAATTGTATCAGTTATTGTATTGAAATTTCATAATTTTTTCAAATGTGTAAGATAAATTGAATAACTTTTTTAACAGGAGATCGAAATATCGATGTTTTTATAAAATTTTGGTTCCTTTTAAATAGATATGTTTTATTTCTTTTTTAAATTATTTCGTTCATTTAATTCTTTCAATGAATTTTGATCAAATCAATCATGAAATCTCATTTTGTTGAATAAAATTTCATCTACACTTTACTTTAAAGATGTTAAATTTGAAATATTGTATTAATCAAAATAATATATAGTTTTTTCTTTTCCTTTTTAATTTCGTTATTTCATATACTTAATAACTTTATTATTCCAAAAAAATTTTGAACATATTTTTAATCGAATATTTATATCTAAAATACGATATACGTATATGAATATTTCGATATAATTTCTATATAATTTTGAGAACACAATCCAACATAATTAACAATGTTATAATAATGTAATAATAATGTTATAACAATTTTCTATTTTCATAATTACGTAAAATGATGTTTGTGTAAACAAGAATATACATATTCATGATCGGTCAATAATTTGTTAAAATATTATTATACGTAAAACAGACATTAAAATTTATTGATTGCGAAAAGTCAGACAAATATCTGATTAACGTTGAAATAAATATTTTAAAATGCAGAATATAAATAATATTTAAATAAAATCATAGAAAAAATGCAGGATAGGCTTATTATCTTATAGAATTATGGATTCAATACTTTGAATTATTGACCATGCAAGAAATTAGAGATTTTAATGTGCTTTCAATTATTATCCATGATTTAGAAATTTAGAAATTATATTCAATGCAATAATAAAATGAATAAAATCAAAAGAAATAATAAAATTTCTTTTATATCATAAAAATTTATTTTTATGTATTCTTTTATATTCCAGAGAGCATTCCTGAATATATATATTCCTCAAATATCTTTAAAAAGATCGATTATAAAGGCCAACAAATACAAGAATTAATATATGTGTCAGTGAGACATATACAAAATATTTTATATATATTTTCTATATAAAGGGAAAATATATATTATTAGATTTTTATATATATTTTATATTACGGGAATAATATTAATACAAGATCGTTAATATCTTTACAAAATTTCTGAAGAAGAAAAATATAAAAGTTGGTTAAAAATGTCGGTTTGATTTTATTTATTTAATTAGAAGCAATTTAAGTTTGTGTTTAATATGAAGTGGAGATAGATCGAAATAGCTCAGCGATGCATTAATAGAAATAGAGTTTTTTGATTTGACACAACCTTTTTTTTTTTTTTTTGACACAACCTTAAATTGTTTATAATTTAATAAATAAATTTCAACCGACATTCTTATGCACTAATTTTTCTTGTGATTTCTATGATTCATTCTCCAAAGTTTCCCACAAATAT